AGTACCTGCCGGCGACGGCCTTACCTCACGATGCTCCAAAGCACAACGTATCAATACAATGCGTTGATAAGCGCCCCAAATAATACGAGCTATTTGCAAGTATTAATTTGGTTACCAGTGGCAGTGTGTCTGGGCCCACACTACCATCTTGGTAAGATTCGAGGCCGACCTAAAACCTAAAACCGTTTTCGGGTACGGAACCCAGTTGCTTTTTGCAACTTCTTTTTAGAACTGAAAAAACAGTTAGGCTGAATTTTCAGTTCTTCCTGCATTTAGGTTTCAACCACAGCCACCACGAATCTCTCCAAAGGGGCCATAACCCAATGAGCAGATTGGACCGAAGTCCAAGGGATTTCTGCTGCCCGTGGTACCAGAAAGTCTCCGGTAAGACTGTGTAGCCGAAATTACTGCCAGTTGAGCAACCCATTACTCAATGACTGGTGACATTTGTCGCTTGAACTTCAAATGTCTTTTTATTTAGAATCTCATTTAAAGTCTATAATATCAAACATTAGTCGGATCCGCTTACACAATCAAGTTTGGAAAACAATGTGTTGAGAGGTAATATACCATAGTCTTGGACCACAATATGCTCAGTTTTATGCACTATTAAAGGAAAATTAAAAAGGAACTTGTTTATATAGATAATACGTTGGACTGATTAAACCCCAACCAGCACATTGCTGGAGCCACGGTCCTAAAGATATGATTATAGTAAGTTTGGGTTTATTTTCGAAATTAAGATATGTTATGCAGCACTTTTTCGATTTTCTGTTTCGATCAGTGATTTTCTTTAGGTAAATACTAATAACTCTATGTGTGCACCAATAGTTTGTGTGTATATGTCTACAGCTCTATTATAAGATCTGCATAGATTCGTAATAGAAAATATTTAATAAATTTGTTATTTGTCAAATATTTAAATTTTGCCCCAACAAAATATTTATTGCACTTATTGCTGTGATCCAAAAATAGCTACCAGTTCGTATTCCGACCAATTTTCCCAGGATACTATTTGAATAAAATTTATTTGGTGGGCATACATTTTAAGCTAACTTTAATTAGATTATCGGGTTTCTAATATCAAGCAAACGGTAAAATGTTACGCAACTTGAACACAGCCCGAACAGGTTGACTGATTGCGTCGGCATTTGGTCAAGCAACCAAAACGTGGCGGCTGCGAACGGCGTGAGAATTCATTAAGCGAACTGATTTTTGCCGCTGGGAAGCCGAACAGACAGGTAGTACGTATGTGCATACACACAAAACTAGATGAAGATTTACATATTTACTATGTTCACAATTCACATATATTACGCCGGACAGCTACCGGGCGATTTAAGATGTTGCACACGCGCAGCACGTACATTTGTACATACACAGATATGAACCTGCTTGTGGGGCTAGTTGGCTGTCGGTTAGCTGCCACTTTGTAATACTTAGTTTGGTGTGGCAATTTGAATGGAGCGAACAAATAACTTAGAATTAGTAAATTAAAATTCTCGTACGTGCATAGAGTACCCACAACCGCAAACATAAAGTCGTACTTACATACATATGTACAAAGGTATGTAAATACGCACAAATATACCTAAAAGTGCATGAGTACTCGTAATGCTCCGAAGAGTTCATTGGCCGATGGCGTTTTTCGCGAGCTTTGAGATTTTCGCTTCATTATGGCCGCATTTAAAGATTTTAAGCTGCCGTGAAATTTAAGTATGTATTTGTCTGACTAACCAAGTGGTCGGTAGGTTGATTGAATTTACGTAATTATAGCGTAAACGAAGCGAGGTGAACACATGTTGCATAGATATGTATGTACATATGTATGCATGTATGTGTGTATATGGAACAGCCACTAAAAGAGGTAGTGATCGAGACACACGTGAAGCACACATATGTATGTATGTAAGAATAGAGCTAGAGCGGAAAAGAACAGCGGCGTGACTGTTATTTTCGTCACAGTTTCTGCCGCCAATCACACAGCGATGCCAAGTTTATTCTAGACTTTATTCTTCAAATTTATTGTTATTGTTGAGGCCATTGACGCTTTTGGGCGTGTCCAATTACCGTTAATTTGCGCTGTTATTGTGTTTCATACACATGTACTCGGTATGCACATGGCAATTTGCTTTTTAAAACACAGAAAAGCAGAAAAAACGTTTCATTCATAAAATCGAAAGCCAATGCATACATAAGTATATAACGAGCGTCTGGCTGAGTGATGCTGGGAATATGCCGGTAATAGCTCAGTGAGAGAAATAACAACAAGCAAGCATACATTGACCGAAGGCCAAATATATTTGTTTGTGTATAAATAAAATTAATATCGTATAGTCGCGATCAGAGTTTCTTTTGGTTCACATTCCTGTGAGTCTGCCGACTTATGGAACATTTTTGTTTAAATCGGATGTATTATCGTCCACTGGCTTAAAGTGTTTTGTACGGATTTTTTACATATTGTATATGTGAGGACGTTTGTGTTAGAAGATATTACGTGTCAAGCCCTTAATTGCTTTGTGATTCAGAGAAGTCTCATTCTTTAAATTTTTTTAGCTCGAGTTCTACCCAGTGTAAAAATTTTAACTTAAGAACATTCTTATATACAATATGCTCTTATGTAAACAATTATTATCTGTATTATAAAACACTTATTTTATTAATTTGTGTTTATATCTTATCTATTTTCTTGGAAGAGCTTCTGCTCCCCTCTGTGGTGCATGTTTTGATGTTCAGCGATAAATAGAAAGATCTCAGACAACTAGGAACAGCAGATGGTGGATATATTTCAGACGTTTAACATCAGTAGAGAGTGTAGTGCCAACTTTTAAAAGCTTAAAATAGTTTAAACGGTTAAAGTAAGTTTAACCGTTTGAAGATGGCTAGAAACTATTAGTAAAATCCTTTATTTAAGTTGAAAACCACAATCGGACGGTGCGTCTACATATGTATGATATAATACAATATATACGCAGTACAAAGCTTTTTCAGACCATAAAATCAAATTTAAATAAATCGATTGGTTTCATAACTATCACATATATACATATGTACGTAAGCCAACATTATGTTTTTTAACATTTCACAGTATCATAGTAAATGGCGCAGGCTCTTAATGTGTGTGATTGCATAGAGTCAGAGTATTGATGTAATTAATTATTATAAATCAAGAAAAATACCTAAATATAATACGAGTAAATACTTACATAGGAGTATATACATATGAATGCACCCATCTTTAACTGACTAAGATCTCATAACCGTATGGAAACAAAATGCTAGCGAACTTTGCTGTTCTCGATCATTATAGTCATTCTACCATGAAATAACCATACATACAAACATATGTGTATTAAAGTAGTATAGGTCCAAAGCACGTAATTAACTAAAATACAGTTAGTTGTAACGCCCAAAAATTAATTACGGTATATTTTAATTATACAGCGATAAAACCATTTCGTGAAAAAACTTAGTTCAGCTAGAAGAATTGAAAACTCTATGTACATATGGGCATAAGTATACATAGTATAAATACACATGTGAGTAGAAACATGTGTGGAGAGATTACAGGAACGTATTTAATAGAAAACATACATAGATATGTCCCTGTCATTTTACTTACACACATACCATTTATTAGTTTATAATAATATCGCTAGAGAACGCAGTCTGTAAATGGATTTGGCAAAAATATTATCAGACTAGCTTATTGTACTGACCTGTTCCCTGTACAAAATAGAACCTACAGATCTTAATTATGTACTATGCAAGTAAATGTACATATGTATATGGCTTAGCAACTATGTAGATGACATTAGAAATAAATACAATGGTCTACGCCAATGGTTCAAAACAGAAGTTGAGCTCATAAGTACCGGGAGGATGGAAGAACAAATAGGGCCACAACTGAAGTATCTAATTGTAATATTAGAATCAAGACTTAAATTCAATGAGCACCTGGCATACACGTCAGAAAAAGTAAATAAAAAATATAAAGTTGTATCAAGAATGATGGCAAAAAGCGGTTGCATGCGTTTCAGGCGGCGATTTCTAATCACAAAAGTAATGAGCTCAGTAATATTGTATTCGGCTCTAATATGAATCCAGACTCTAGACATCAAATGCTATGCAAGACTAATAATCACAGTACATCGACTTTCTACAATACGAATAATTAGTGCTTTCTGGACTATGTATACCGACGCTGCTGCAGTATTAGCCATTATGCCGCCTATTGACATCCAAGCAGAAGAACTCGAGCGAACTCAGCTATCAGCACCTACAACTGTATCAACAAAGACAGAGAAGATCCTCATCCAAAGGACGGTGGATCCCCAGACTAAAATGACTTCCGATCATAGATAGATAGACTGTCAGCAAAGTGTCAGCTTTAATAATGACAAAACTGAGAGTTTTTCAACAGATTAGGCGTCCGTCACACTCCGTCTTTCGATGTTTCCTTCTCCCCTCCCTATCAGTTGAACTGATAAACATATATATGTTTACATCATAGGCATTCTGGAAATAAGCTAATTATTACCAGGGACTATTTTGTAGAGTCGAATACCTCCTGTTCAAAGGTTTTTAAACATTTTCTGTGCACTCATTTCACGACACAATCTTCCGTATTTTATCTATGAGAGTTTTCGCATTAACCGGTATTTAAGTCTAATATTGGTGATATATTAGACTAAATTAGATTTTTACCATTTCTCTGAACTTGGCTAAGAAATTTCAAGGACGTTCGGCCATTCGTCCATTTAATATAACAGCCTACCTTGAATAGGCATATACATTTATTTTCGATATAAATAATAAAAGAATACGCTTTAAAAATAAATTTTTTGGCAGCCATTTAAACTTTGTTTAAAAGGCGTCTGAATATTTATGAGCATTTACTCTAGCTATTGTAAATTTTTCAAATTTTCTACTTATGTACGTATTTAAGTTTTAGTTGTTTTTAATAAAGTATACATACTTTGTTCGTTCCTTATTTGCAGATATTCTTGTGTGTGGCGCTAAATGGTGCGATGCTCACCCAAGCACAACCGCATCGTGAACCTCGTTTGGGCTCCAAGTGTCAACATGATATGGATTGCACGGATTTCATCAAGGGCAGCGCCTGTTCGGCGAACGGCTTTTGCGAGTGCGCCCCATATTATGTGCAATATAACGCTACCAGCTGTCTATCGTGTAAGTATTACGATAACAGGTTCGCTATTCAAGCAATTTTGGTATTCCAATCATTTATATAGGTGCGAGCTCTTCAAGTGGCCGATAGCAGTTGATCTCTAATGCCAACTAGAAAATCAGTCAATCACAGTCAAATACAGACACGCGAAAAGCTAAACTTCCAATCCCAAGCGAGTTCATATGATATCACATGTCTTTCATCTGCAAACCCACACTTAGCCTTGTACTTTATGTGAGTTCTGCATCTAATGCACTTACAGCCGACAGCAGAAACCCAGCCAGCTAATGCACACTTTTCTCAATATAAACATATATGACCAGGGCGATGTTGCATGCAGCCACTGTAGCCAATCCTAATGCAGTACATTTATTTCTCATATCATTGAGAAGTCGTCGTAAATTATATAGTGGTTTATATATATAAGAGTATCAACAGATATATACATATATAATGGAGAGCTCGGCACTTTTCTGCGTTCATAGACTACAATGTATAGGTACATATGTAAATAAGAACATGTACCCAAGACAAACAAACTTAGCTGATAGCTAGCTGCACAAGCAAAGAGCGAATAATGTGCACATGGCGTGTGTCCCCGATTTTCATGCAACAATGTTGATATGCTGCAGCAACATCGTTTACATTAACATTGCTATGCATTTGCTGTTGTCGATCGTTGCAATTGTCAGTGCTGCGATTATTGTGTTGCAGCACTCATTCAGTTGTTTATTGTTTTTTATTACCTCTTTGGCAGTCGGTACATACCTGATCTGTTGACATACGAGTGGCTTTGGTTATCTGCTGTTGTACGGTGTGTTTTGTTGTCTGAATGCCAGAAAAGGCGTATTTACTTGAACATGGATATTTGACCCGCTTTTTGCAGCTGTGATGAATGATGATTGTCAGCGAACCTAACGATCGTCGGATTCATTATCTACTCGATATATTGATGATGCCACCATGTAGGAAACTAAGAGGTGACAGCAGCAAAGTTTTGTTTTGTGATATATAGAATTTTACTCTAATACAAAAGGAGATCAATAAAAATATCAAGCGTTATCTAGTTGCTTCTTTCATGCAAATTTGATGTGAGATCCAGTGTTTTAAGCTAAAAGTGAATTTCTTATTTCTCTACCAGTTCGCGGTGTTAAGGAATGTTTAGTTAGGCGTCAAACATAAAAACGACAAATTAAAATCCCTAAAAAATCAGTAAATCCTTAATTATATTTATGCTAATTGAATGATTACGGCTATCGGTAAAAATAAAGTATGATTGCAGTCTTCAGTTAAAAGGTTGCAGATAGTTTTTACTCGTCTTACTAGCACTCAAGATGAGCTTTAGTGATAACAAAAAGCGTAATCTTATCCGCATAAGACATCTGGTAGCACCTCAGGGCTGTCTGAAAAATGGGAATTCTTCTAAGATTCGCTAAAACTTTGACTATGTCATGTCCAGTAAATACAAAACCGCATTGGGTGCAAAAGTCTCTCTGAAATTTTAGACCCTCTTTATAAATCAATAATTTAACTCTTCTTCCGCTGTTTTGGCAATTTAACTGAGTATTCAGTTAAAAACTATTTCAATTTTCCATAGCACTCTCAGGATATTTTGCAAATTTTGCGCGTTTATGTAATAGTTCCAACTCTGAAAGAATCAACACAATATATTACTCTGCCTATACCTATGTATGTAGAATGCGCAAATATTTATTTTTATTGTTGGTATAGCTGTAGTTGGGTTGCGTTATTTGCTCGGTTATTCCAACAGCGCTGCCCTCGGAATGCTGCATTCCTTCCCTATTTGTCATCAGTACATATATGACTTTCTCACTGACCGCGAACCTTTCGCAGCAACAGATGCCGTTTTCTTCACACTTCAACAGTGTGCATTCTTGTGTTGCGTGCAACATGCCTCAACACATACCACATACAAGCGCACGAGTATTAGTATGCGACCGTTTAGCAGAAAGCTTGGCAAACACACCTCTGTATGCACTACCAAATTTTCTATTTGCACTCGAAATGCCTTCCAACACACCTAACTCCACGGTTGCATATCGACAAGTGCATATACTTGGGCATACAAAAGTATATAGATATATTTATATATTTTATGTATGTATGTATGCTTCACACCAAATATTTGTATATGCGCCTGCGCTTGGGTTTTTGTGTGTTTCTCCTTAATTGCCTCACCAGTCAAGTCGGCCTGCATCCCTGCACTCTCTTGACACTGTCGATTTTATTTAACTTTTCTCTGGTATTTGCTCTTCTAAGTAACACACACCATTAATTTTTTTTTGCTGAACTTGTATAAGCATATGAATGCATTTTATTGTTCTTCTTCTTCTTTACAGCGCAACTTCTGGGTGGTGACTGCGTTCTGAACGATCAGTGCACAATGAAGGTGGCCAACAGCAGTTGCTTAGATGGCGCCTGTCGTTGCGTCGAGGGTTTCCTGCAGTTCCGCAAACATACCTGCCTTGGACGTAAGTACGCTGAAAATAATAAGCACCATACCAAATCCAACTAGTATCACTAGAATATACTCATACAACACTACAGTAATCATGTAATCTGCACTTGTTAACAATAATTATTGTATTTAAGTATTAAAACAATTGATTCATTGAAGAAAATTTAAAAATCGTATTTATGTTGTTTTTAAAAACAAAAAATTCATCTGTTCATGTCAGAAATTGTATATGTATAAATGATGAGCGTGACGAGCTGACTCGATTTGAGATTTTGCACACGTTCTTTTTCTCTCAAGAAGCTGCTCATTTACCGGAAATTAAATGGCTGCTAGTGGTAGTACTGCAACGATTTTATTCATGTTTAGCACCAGAACATATTATTATCAAGAAGAGAGGACAGTAGTTTCCATATATTGCTCACAAATATACCGATATTTTCGCTGCAACGTCAGTAAAAAGTATGAAGGTTCTCATATACGGTATCTGGGTGCTTCAAATGGTATATTCCGATTTCAAGAAATAATTGCTAATTTTAGTTAATAATTTATTTATACTTTATATAACATAAAGTGAAAGAATCAGTCGCGTATTTCTCTCCTTTTCACGTTTTCCATGCACGTTGGCAATTTTTAAATTCTAAACATGTAAGCTTGTTAAAATATCTATGCAGCCTTACCTACTTTGGACACAAGTATTACGTTTTATGAAGATATCTCAATTTTTACTGGCGTTAACGGGCAGACAGACATCCGGAAATCAATATTTAAATATATGTAGCACATATATATATTAGTCTATCTGGGTTAGGTTTTGGTATTACAACTTTGGTTCAAAAGGGTAATTTTGGATTGAAATTTTAAATGATTAATAAACACCAATATGGTTAACTGAAATCGTGAAAAACCTTAGACAAAAACCTACAAAGATTACACAATAATTCGATAGCAATCTAAATATAGGTTTGAAATGTATGTTTTTAATTTTGATATAGGTATATGTAATAAGACAAAGCAATATTACCTAAAAACATACCTCTTCTCTGAAATAATATGGAAGTAAGAAAAATATGAAGTCGCATGCATTGAATGACACTTAAGTGCGAACCTCTTAATTGGAAAAGCCGCTAATTGCATAGCAGACGCTTAAAGCTATTTCCGACATTTCTGTAACTGTCGGCATTACATACATACATACATATGTATACACATTATCTCAACTGTGGTACGATTGCTATCAAAAGGGGAGCTAGGAAACACGTTGCGTGTCACACGCATGTGCCTGTCAAGAGCTACTAAAGTATATTCACAACTGTGCGGAAAGAAATCTTGTATGTATGTATGCAGTCTCACATATAATTTATTCACAATAATTATTCAAATAATAGGTTAATTAGTTACCAGATAAATTCTCTAGGAATTACAATCATTTGTGTGATGTAAATGTTGTACATATATATAAAATACTATTGAGTTTTTAAATTACTGTCAGTAAATAGATGATCTAAAAGTATTTTTCGTCTTATGTAAATATGTACGTTTTTTTTGAAGAATAACAAAAGTCAACAAGCCTATGCTCTGCAACCCATTTATGACGCCGAAGTAGGTGTTAACTGTTCACTTGATGCAGATCGCGATTCAAAGTGACGATAGAACAAACATACAACAAAGTCATGTACACAGATATCACGACTTCTGAAAGCACTAATTTTTTTTACTTAATAAAATGTAAGTGTCAACAGAGACTTCATCACTATCATTCTAATGGGATTTAATTATAAAGAAAATGGTAACTGGACTAGTAGGTGCTTGAATTACTACACACACGAGTACTCATCCTACGCAGGGTAGAAGCTGCTAGCGCACGAATAGTTTCAAAGAGAAAATGAAAAAATCCCTATAGGAAATGTGTCTTATCGTGTGTCATTTGTAATTGATAATACAGCCTTAAAAGTTCGTATTAGGGTTATTTAGAACTATTCAGCGATTTGTCCCGCGGTAAGGCATGCCTGTCGTAAGAGGCGACTAAAAGCCAAATGCACTATGACTGTTATTTTACCTTGCCTAGAAATATCAGCATAGTAATGATGTCAGAAATAGTGCTATAATACTCAGCTTGAACTGATATTATAGACTTTAAATGAAATCCCAAATAAAAAGACATTTGAAGTTCAAGCGACAAATGTCACCAGTCATTGAGTAATGGGTTGCTCAACTGGCAGTAATTTCGGCTACACAGTCTTACCGGAGACTTTCTGGTACCACGGGGAGCAGAAAGCCCTTGGACTTCGGTCCGATCTGCTCATTGGATTCGGCCCTTTAGGGAGTATCGTGGTGGCTGTGGTTTAAACCTAAATGCTGTAAGAACGAAATTTTCAGTTCAAAAAAAGAAGTTGCACAAGCAACTGGGTTGCGTACCCGAAAACGGAAGAGGTTTTAGGTCGGCCTCGAATCCTACCAAGATAGTCAGTGTGCCCCTACACACTGGACACTGGTAACAAAATTAATAGCTCGTATTATTTGGGACGCTTATCAACGCTTTGTTTTGATACGTTGTGTTTGGAGCACAATGAGGTAAGGCCGTCGCCGACAGGTACTCACGTAAAACACACCGGACGTTGTCCGTCCGCCTGTCTGTATATATGCGAACTAGTCCCTCAGTTTTTGAGATATCGATATGAAATTTTGAACCCGTCCTTTTCTTACGAAGAAGCTGCTGGTACTTTCTCGGATTGGCCGATATCGGACCACTGTAGCATATAGCTGCATTACAAAATAACGATCAGAATAAAATGCTTGTATGGAAAGATTTATCATGTGGCGAGGCATCCTCACGAAATTTGGCATGGACTAATGTGTAAGGCAACTATTTAATACCCGCAGAAATTGATCAGATCAGAAAACTATATCACACAGCTGCCATACAAACTGAGCATTCAGAATCAAGTTTCTGGTATTAACAAGAAACACCTGTGGGCTAAAGATTTTGAAAAAATGGACGTGGCCTCGCCCTCTAATAGGTTTGCGGTACATATCTCCTAAAACATTCTTATTCACCACTACCGACAATGTAAAAATTGATGAATTCACACTAACGGTTCTGTTAAAAACTACTAAAAGCGCGATAAATCAATAACTGAATGCGCCAGAGACATTAAATTTTACAGCCAAAATGATACAAGAGGCCTTTATAGGATCAGCGTTCTATATTGGACGATGGGCGTGGCACCGCCCACAGTGAAATCACATATGTATATTTGGACATACTCAACCAATTTCAACAAAATTTGATACATAAGATTATTTTAATATTCCCGTAGTACAGTGTGAAGTGGAACTATAACCACGCCTACTTTCCATATAGCCAAATTTTAAGCTCCATATGATGCTTACACTTTCCAACACACAAATCAAATGCCAATGAATATAAAAACTTTGCACAAATAGTGTCTTTGAATCAAAAAATTGTCAAAATCGGACCATAATTGTTCAAGGCCCCACGTACCAAATATGTGGACGACAGTGCGTATGGCTGACATTTTGCCGAAAATATAGGTCAATCTGTGAGATATGTTATTTAAATTTAGGGAAAATGTTTCTTTTATAATAATGTACCCTTGTGTCGAAAATCGGTATAATCGGATCAATACTTCCCTTAGCCACCATCTAATATGAAGATTTTCGAACTTCTAGTTGGCTTGAAATCGTTTAGATTCGGTAAAATGTTTGATATTTTAATAAAACGTGTCCAAATTTAGCCTTTCTTACTTATTTGTTTAATGTTTTGTTCTCGATATTTTCTTATACTTGTACTACTGAAAATATCTAAATAATATATAATTATATAAAAAATCGAATCTCTGATCCAAAAGAGGACATATTTTGTAAAGTTCAAAATTCATCGTTATAATCTTGTAGAGTAGCATTTTTAATGCACCATTTTAGTTCCGGTTAACTAAATGAACCCAATTATACCATACATGAAAGGAACTTTTTTGCATCCATATTCCAAGGCTTAGTAGGCGAAACAGACACACTTTTCATTTATTTTTTTAATGTTGTTGTATTAATACACAATCGACCGTCGTTTGACAACAATAGAGGCTGACCGTAAGCGCCACTACGCCATATATGCTAACGTAGCACTTCTGTACTGCTGCCTGAGCGGCAGTGCTGTCACTTGCAAAGTGGAGAAAGTTTTTATTAAATTAAAAAAGAGAAATGCATAACTCCAAGAAGCAAAGTTAAATACAACTGCAACAGCATATAGTTATGTATTGGCAGTAAGAATAGTAAATGCGCAATGTAAGACTCAGCATAGGATGTCGATATGAAAAAATCGGCACAGCAATTGCTGGCTCTGTTCCAGGAATCGCATGTACTTAAAATAACAGTGTAGCCTGTAAGTTGCAGTGCAAGCAAAATTATTGAACCTGGTGCGAGCTGGCGCCAGCTGTGGTTATCACTTAGCAGCAATCGCAAGTATATTTGTAAATATGCACATTCTACCATTCTAATATTGGCCATTTGGCTGCTGGTTGCACATGCACACAGGCCCCATAGATTGCCTGTTGTTGCAATGAGAAGCAATAGTCAAATGTAAATTATCACATTCGCTTCCACATACCAATGTAAGTATGCTTATGCCTACGTGCCCCTCCTAAAAATATAATATATGAATGTACGCTTCCACAAAAAAGTAAGTTTCCGTTAAATGCCATTTAACGCCATTAACGCGCTGTCTGCTAATGCGAATCTTATAGTATTTATTTTATATAAATACATATGTATGTATGTATATATCACATTTATGTATGTTAGTTCATATGAATGTATGTGAATCTCATGTGTGCTTTCCGTGTACCTGCTTTTCCAATCTCAATTTAGCGTGTAATTTCTTCTACGCCAATTGTTGCAGTAATCGGATGACAGTCAACGGCTCAAATGGTAACAACTTCCACTTTCTATTTGTGGCAATTACAGTTTTTGCATTTTCTCTTAATTTTCAACTGTTAT